ACTGTTAGACAAAAACTTTAATTGCTGTCATTGAAGAAGCATGTTTGAAGCTAAGATTACTTCTGAAGAGTGTCACTTTTAGAAAGCAAATGCAATAAGAGATAAGTAACCTCTCCATACACTGACAAACCTTATAGACATAACAAGGTGGTGAAAAAAAACACCAATAAGTGTTTTAAAACTGGTATTTAACATCTGTTTCGCAAATTTACCTCATGTTACCTTGGCTTTAATCACTTGGTCAGCTAACAGTCATTTGTCTTGTACTAAATAGACAAATCGATATATTTGAGTCGTATAATTGTGGTAGTTGCGAATACTGTACTTAATGAAACATTGAAATTTGACTGGCAGACTGACTGACTGACAAGATCGACGTAGAACCTCACATACAACTGCATCGGTTTAAGTTGCGACATTTCCCAGTAGGACATAAAGAACCGGTGGACAGAAGAGTGATATCAAACAAGACGAAGTAGTCTGAGAGAATAAACGATTTGAAGATAAAGGTTGGTGTGAATATTCAAACACCCAACACGATTCAAATCAGCTTTCAGGAACTTCATCCACTAGTGCCATGTCTTGGGGTCTGATCAGCCTGAACCCTCTTCCAACGAAATCTGACTTCTGCTATCATCGCACGCCGAGGTAGGCGGTGGTGGCTCGGCATGTTTAACGCATGTCAAAACAATCTCATTTGACTCAGTTTCACAACCGCATCAGTCGGCTTTCCTTCCTCGACTACTACCCTGAGCCTGACCTCAACATTACTCATACGGTGATTTCACCATACACGAGCAATGCAACGAAGATATCTGTGACCAAACACCTGTAACCCCCTCATATCTTCTACTTTTAACGGCCATATTTCACAGCCATACAACAGGGGAGAACAGACTTCAGCGCAGTATACTCTTCCTTTGATAGATAGTCGGATATCTGGCCATTCAGTGCCACAGATGAGGCTCGTTGGCGAATGCTGAACGAGCGTTGTGTATGTGATTTGAGATTTCATCAGTAACCAGCTAGTTCGGTCTGATGCGACTCCTCAAGTGAATTCTGTCTGATTAAAAATTCAATGGAAAGCACAATAACTGTCACCTAGCTGCAGAGGTTTTGTCATTTTGACTATCTGAGATAACCACTGTCTGACAGACTTGTGTTATTCAATACTGAGTGACGATTGGAGATGAAATGACAATCAAGATGGCAGAAAGATTTAAACCAACGACTTTTGCATTATCAGCTTGGAGGCCACTACACACATACTTGATTATAACAATAAAACGTTTCATTCAAATGGTCATAATTGAAGTTTGTCGAATCAAGGGATGTTCTTGGGGACTCTTAAAACTTATGATAATATTGATAAATTTTTAAGTTAGGTATGATTAAAATTTGTAAAACTGAAAAAAGTCCACCACTAAAATTTGCAAGCAGCAGCAGATAACAAATAGATTTAGAATCATTTTTTAGCTATTGAATACATCTACTTTTGTTAAGGGGCATTTGTACTTTTTTCATGAAAGTTTAAATTAGAGATGAATAACAAGTCAGACGATAAAGTATATTTGTAGAGTATGCTGCTTGCCTTGTTGATTCAATCCTCAACTGAGGAGCCATGTTCTTTATACTTACTATCTAACTTTCAGCAAACGCATAGAAGATTCATGGTGAGTACATAGGCAGACTAGACTCAATGTTGCATAGTAAGAATTATCCTATACTAAAGTAGAATTACGATTCTTGCTAATCAATGTCAAAAGAAACACAATATAGACAATTAAAGTCAATAGTTTGGACATGATACCGGAAATTTATTTCCTGGTGGCTAGCATTAGAATCCTGGATACACACTTCGTCCTATTTCCGACTCCTCAGTTGAGTTTACTTGCACTGTAATGAGTAATGTTTTTCCTACTGAGACTCAAACCCAATACTCATTACATTAAGTGTCATCAACTTGGCGCAAGAACCACCTATTGTACAACAAGTATCAGTTATTATTTCTTCTTGTTCACAACAGGATATTACTAGTATCAACAAATAATGATACCTGAAAGCTATCAGAAATCTCCTCTGTAGTGACTGTATGTGTGTGACGGGTCAGAAGACAACCAATCTACTATTACAAAATAGTTTGTTCAGTTTAACTTAAAAGAGCCTAACGAAATTCATATTATGTAAGATATGGAAGAAATACCGATGTTGATCAGTGCTACGATTTATCAAAAGTTAAAAAGTTAAGGTGATCATATTATAAGTGGATTTTGAGCAGTAGCATTTATGTGTGCATATGAAACAGAACGCACTCAACCACCTTGTGCACATCAATGCAGTAGGCAATGAGCCACGCCTATTGTGTGAGGGCTAGTGATACCGTAGTAGGGCGTTGCTGATAAGAATGGATATAAGTAGTATATGTTGAGAGGCTGGCACAAATCATAGGGAATTACCAGCAATGGGTAAGGATTCCGCCTAAAGAAACGCAAGAGACAAAACAGACGTATGAAGAGCAAATCAAGAAAGAAGCAGAAGAGGAAATAAAGCATGTTTTGCAAATGACGGTTTCAGTGTAAGGTGTACCACATTCAACGACTACTGTCGCACTTGTCATCTTACACTACTAGGTCACAGCTCCACTGGATATGCATAATTAGCTGAAGTTAAATGGCACTGTTTCCAACTGGTCATGTTCTCTATGGTAGTCAGTAGAGTAATGGATGAATAATCTCTTGATTAGAATCCCTGGTTTTCTTACAATTCCAATCATCATTTTCTTATACTAAGATTATTCTCAATAATTTTATTATTCAACCAAAATAATTCAGTTAGAATAATGACATTGTGAAGTTATTTCTTTTATCGGCATAAGGATTTTTTCTCATCTTAGGAAAAATTTCCGGAGAAGAAAAATGTATACTCCAATAATCTCACTTTTTGGTAATCAAACCTTGTCTATACAGGCTGATATAGGCTTAGCTTAATTTGAAATGTAGAAAGTGGATAATATATATCCAGTTATGCTTATTCTACCTTAACTATCTGGCTGCCATATTACATACTGTTCAAACTTATTCTATCTCTGAAAGATGAATTAAAAACTATGTGGTTAAGCACATATTTATAATTTACACTGGCATAATTTACTCCGGCCCACCTCGTTGCTAGAACTTTTATCCCTTGGTTAGCAATAAGCAATCAATAAGTGTGATATAGATAGATAGACAAAATCAACGTACAACCTCGTACACAACTGGATTGGTTCAAGTTACCACACTTTACAATAGTATACAAAGAACAAGTGGACAAGAAAGACTGATGTCAAAGTGGAAAAAAACTGCATAGGAGGAGAGGGAATTTAAAAATTAAGGTTATTCAAAAATATTTAATCTTTAGAAGCCATCAAAGAGTGAATACACCTACGTTATTTTGATGGATTTTCAGCCACTTCACCAAGAGTCATCAAAGAGTGATTCCTTAAGTCTCAAGGACCCCAACCAGATGGTCTACATCTCGTCACATGGCTCAGATCAATAGTTAACGACTTCATCAACTGATGTCCTGTCTTGGTCTGACCAGCCTGAACCTTATCTCCCGGCATGGTATATGGAGGTAAGCGGTGGCTTGGCATGGAAAGCACATCATATCTAATCCACTCCAGTCGATAAAGGTATAGAATAATATGATGTATAATAATAATGATTGTGGTAAGTGGATTCGTAAACCCACACCAATGTTAATAATCATAATACCAAGCCTCACAAGAAGACAATTTTTTTTCACTGGACAATAATCATCAAATTCTCAACTTCTTTTTCTAATTAAATAAGCAAAACAGCATACAACCATCAATCATTATACAAACTGATAGATGAATTTCTGAAAAAAAAAACAAACAAAAATATATCAGGAATTTAGCCAGAAAAATGTGTACTGATAGATCAGAAGTAAAATAGAGCATGAAAAACAGATCAGTGTATATGGTAATTGTATTAGAGTATGATGTAATCATAAAATAGTAATTTTCTAGTAATATGATTTGTTCTTTTCATCCATAGGAAATATAGTAATAATAGTAATGTTTTATAACTAATTATTGTAGAGAGGAGATAAGTTATCGGTAGGTATGAATGTTGTGACCAATAATCCATTTGAATGATTCATGATTTTGAATATATATGAATAGAACTTGTACCTTCTAATTGTGTAATCTATGTGAATATATTTCATGTGAGAATAAAATAATACCGAAAAAAAACCTGTTTATATGCAGATAACTACTAAGCAGTAATAAAAAAATGAGAAGTGATCAAAAAGAAAAAAAAATACTGAAATAATAAACAAGATCATAAAAGTAGTACTTCTGTCTAATATTTTGTGTAATTAATTCTAATGAATAGATGGCGCTTTTAAAATAACGAATGTTTATTTATTCTTCTCTGAGAATTTTATACACACGGTTAGCTATGTATATTGTGAATTATGATGAATAAATTTACAAAATGATAATATATAAGTATGTGTGTATTATTATTATTATTATTATTATCGCTTATATTGCAAATTGTTATAAAAGCACTTGGTAGAATATCTAAGTATTCTGCAAAGAATAGCCATAAGAATAGGCAACAAGATAGATATATGTATATAAATTGAAGGTTGAGTTGATCTTTGTTTCTTAATTATCATTCATTTATCAGAATAATTTTATATGTTTCAAACTAGATCTCTGTATAAGAAAGCAATGATTATATTGCATTCCGTGATGAAAATGCATAGATATATTCAAGCAAAGGCAATGAATAATTGAGTTAACAAATATCTCTTTATGAATTGTTGTATTATATGCACAAAAGGAAAGGAAAGGAATGGGGGCTAGGAAAGAAACAAGTGAATCACAGCAGTATAATAAATAACATTAGTATAAAATTCTTATAATATGCATATTAAATACAGAATTCTTGTTTTCTAATAAAAGTAATGCTGATCATTGTATACTATATTTTGCTAAAGAATCCCGGTTTTGGAATACCACTTAGACTGCCGGTTATTGTACCCAAGATAGATCGTGTTGGGCTATTTCCTAAATCAGGTCGTACAGCTTGAGCAGTTTCTTCCATCTAGTATCGAAATAGCAAAACAAAAACAAAACATTTTGTTAACAGTAGAATTTAAAAGGTGTAAGAAGTCTATCATATCTTGAAAAACGATTACCAAGTGGATGATAGTACAGCATCATCGTTATTAAGGCTTATTCACTTTCGTAAAATATGTCTTATTTACTTAGCGTTAACACTAATTTATCAATTTCATTCAACAGCTACATGCTATATGATACTACATGCAAATTGGTTGACAATGGAAAGCTCAATGATACCTTCGAAGTGAAGAGAGGAGTAGGACAAGGTTTCCACCTACTGTCACCAATGATCTTCTTGATTGTGATCGACTGGATTGGATCATCAACAAGTCACCATCAACGGGAAAAACCTAAACGAAGTTGCCTTTTTCACCTACCTAAACAGTTTCATTCCAACTACAGGCAGCACAAGCACACGAAACGATGTAAAGCCAGACAAGATCGGAAAGACAGCAACATGGTTCTTGCTGCATTAACCTGCATTAACCTGAAATCAGTGTGGACATCTACTACACTTCACTGCATTGAACTGAACTGCACTGCACTCAGCATACAGCGTGAACAATATCCAGATTGTCAACATTAATGTCAGCCAAGTGAGTCAGTGCTTCCATGTGATAGTTGAGAGACTTGGCACGTCACGCAAAGCATTTCCAACTAACTACAAACATACATCATCAACAGCTGACACCTACGCTCAGTCAATACTGAAGTTCAGATCAGATAGATGGCCAGAATAATGAGAATAAGCAACAAGGAACTCATTCTGGCTGGCTGGCCGGCTGGCTGGCTGACAACAAACCAATGATGCAAGAACCTATCGCCCAACAAATATATTCAGAAGGAGAAAGTGGAGATGGATTCGATTGTATTGTATTCTATTGTATTGAACATTCATTGAGGAGACGGTTCGGGAACATTACGGGACCGGTTGGGCCAGGTTGTCGAGGGGATCCCAAATGGGGAACGACTAGTCGGTTGTCCGAGGTGAGTGTGACATGGAGGAGATTGTGTGAGGAAGAAATGAAAGCTTGTGGGCAGTGATGGAGTCAGGTTGAAAAGACTGGAGAGAAGAGAGTGAAATGGTGACGTGCTACTGAAGCTCTATGTTCCATTAGGAACCCAAATGACAAATAATAATGTAATAAATTAACACTGATAAAATAATTCCTGAAAAATAAATGACTATCCACTATTCCAAATTTTCACTATTTCTCATCATATTACATTAACTAAAATAATAAGACAGTCAGATAGATTCAATAAAGCAATAATGTTTTCAATCATTTAAAATGTCATTTGAAATAGCAAACTTATTAGTTTACTTTTTCGGAAAATATTATTTCCTACAAGAATGATGAATTGAAGTCGGTAGTGAGAAACCAGTAACACTTCGTATTGTTGGATAAATCTCAGTGTGTGTGAAATTAGAAATTCCAACAATTCACATGGAAGTGTAATCTGAGCTTCTTTAGGTAAATAAATTATCATAGATATATACTGGTCAAAAATCGTGTATTAAAAGCTATAAAATCAATTTTATTAACATATTAATGATCAGAATTTACGATGAATGTATGTAGCCTGAAGTTTGTATTCAAAAAGAACACCTTCAAGGTCTACTTCTCCCTTAGCCTTCCCATTGACTAGACCATATTCCCTCAACCCTTTTGTTTCTTTCTTAATCTTCTTTTCTTCGTTTTTGTTGCCGTTTCAAATCTTTTCTTTTTAAAAAAAATATTGTTATCATTGGTATTATTTTTAACAATAATTTCCTCTCCTATTATAACAAATCTATCCTATTCCGATTACTTAAACATTTTATCAAGCCTACTTTGATAGATGTAGAGTGAGATGATGTGAAATCCAAGTATTATTCCAATGTATATTGGTTTCCTCCATCTTCCCTCCTCTTGATTTCGCTATCCAACATAGGTGGTAATTCTCCCTCTTCATTTTCTTATTCATAAGTGAATTGGATCACTTCTACTATCGAGTTAATGTGTGCGAAAAAAACTCTGATTTCAGCATAGTGAATGTGTCATTTGAATATCGCCACTATACGTTTTTATGATGTGGTGGATTGGAATGTTCCTAATGCTATTTGTTCCCAACTATCCATAAATATACGTCTGCTATGATCGGGGATTATTGAAGATCCTATCGCTACTCCTTCTGTTTGTTTATATATTTTGTCTTGAAATATGAAAACTATGGAAGTTAAACATAATTTTATCTCTAGTATAATTTTTTCAACAGAAACTTTATGAGTTTGACTAGTTAGTCGGAAAGTCTAAATACAGAAATGAAATACACCATAGAGACACTAATTCCGAATAAATATCCCCTGAAATTTCCTAAAAGGTTTATAAGGACTGATAAGAGAGAGAATGGTAGTGTTAGTGTTGATTACAACATGTCTTAGAGGGTATCCAAATCTACTGTAAAGTTACCGTATACAGAAGGCAAATAGAAAATTTCACATAGAATTCCTAACAATACTGGGATTATGATTGCATTTAAATCCATAAACTCTCTTAAAGAGAAACTTTGTAGGCTAAAAGATCCAATAGAGCCAATTAGGAAAAATAACCTAATCTATTAAAAACCATATTATGGTTGTAAGGTTAAGTATGTAGGTTAAAGTAGCCGATCTGGATCAGTCAGAATAGCAGAATACAAAAATTTAGCGAAATATATAATGATAGATCGTAATAAGATAAGTAATTTAGAGAAGAACTCGGCTATTGCTCCACATGCGCTGACCCATAATCACACCGTATGGTAGGATAGAGTGACAATTCCAAAATCCAATATAGCTTGCTAGGTGGAGGAAGGGATTGATCATAAACAGTTTGTTCATTGAATCCCCATCTAACACGTGATAAGAATAGCTAATCATATATTACAGATATACGGAAAATTTTACTACCATTAAAATAAATGAATGAACTGTAGGACTACATAAAGGAAGTTCGAAAGTCGTATGTGAATATGAGCAATAAATTATGCTCCAAACGTTATTCATCATCATAATCATCTATCAACATAGGACCAGGCATTACTGCGTAACAGTCCAACTTGCCACACCTCATATCACTACATCAAGTAAAAAGACAGTCAACTGTAAGACAAAGAAAACAAATTCACTCAAAGAAATATAAACTACTAAAATAGAGAAAGAAAGAATGAGAAAATGGTGAGATTCGGTATAGCGTCGTTAAGATGAGGATAATGTGTGTGGGCATACATCTCCACCACTGACATCGCTTCTGAACTACATCAACTAGAGTCACTCTACAACCACTGCTTGCCTCTTGTCCCCCCAACCCCAACCGACTAGTATGCATCACCCTTCACTCATGGCTTAAACCAACAGTCAAACACTTCATACATTGGTGCCATGCTCTAGTCGGACCACCTCCAGCCTTTTACCATCCTCAACCTACTTCCCCCAACATTGTGTGTGTGTATGTGTGTGTGTGTATGATGAGGCAATCGGCGACTCAGCATACGTAACAAATGTCCCAACCAGCCATCTCAGTCGATGAAGGTTCACAACCTCGTCAACTCACCTACCTCTTCTCCATTAAACTCTACACCTACACCGACACCCACACTACACCTGACTTCTGCATTACTCACATGGTGACACCATGGAATACGACGGCCTATACTACGAAGGCAATGATGGTCAAACACCTGAAGTCAGCTTTCTCATGTCTTCCACCTTCAATCACCATGTTTCACAGCCGTACAGTAGAACAGAGCGAACTGTTGTGCAGTACACCCTACCCTTAATAGACAATCGGATATCACGGCGGCGCACAGGTGTTGCAATTTGGGAAGTAGCGATACTGTATCACTGTTGCTATATCAAATCAACAATCTAGTATGCAATCTGGAACTTTATTATTAATTTGCCTTCACCATACATTTGATCAATAACCAATTGAAAAAGTTTACACCCAACTCATTACTACAGTTGACATACACGTTTTGAAGAACACTACCATCAACAAACATGAAGAATCAAATCTTAATTAGAATTCCATAGCCATTCTGAAATGGATTTGACGCAAAATGTTGGGTATTACTATGATAGGGAAATTGATTTTATAACTGTAGAAGCTGATGAGGAGTTATTGAAAAGAGTATCCTCCGTTAATACTTGACTTTTAGTATATGCAGTAGAAATTTTTATTTATCCAAAAATTGTGTAGTGCATCTCGTTGTTCAATGGTATCTGGTTTGTGATTATTTTTTAAATCGGATTACTAGTCCTCCACTGGGGATTAATACTTATAACGCCTGTAGGTGTGTGTTTTTTATGTTTGAGACACCAGTTATTACAAGATAATGAAGGTAGTATATGTCATGATTTTCAATCGTATTGAAAAACAATCATAAACCCTACCAGATTAGAAAAGAGATGAACTACACGACTTTTGACCAGTTATTTGTATATATCTACGATAATGTATGGTAATGATGGATAGTGGCTAGCAGTGGAATCCAGGATGCGCATTTCGTCCTATTTGGGACTCGTCAACTGGATGTGCCTTCTTCCCAGTGAGTGATGGTGTTCCACCGGATTCGGACTCGGGACCAGCGACGGTATAATACAAGCAGTTATACTAAAACTACGGCCGTCGCACAAGAAGTGGCTATCATGGCTCGGTGGTGTAGTGGATAACGCTCTGGCGTTTGAAGCGATCTTTACTACAATTAGAACACAGGTAATATCGAGGTATCCGCATTGGAGCCCATATGACTTCAGAGACCGATCAATTCGGTCCAATCAAAGACGATATAATACAAGTAATCATATTATATGTATGATAATTTACATTTTGATTATTCCCTTGAAGAAGCTCAGATCAGACATCTGCGTGAAGCGTTGGAGTTTTTGATTTCAAATACACTGAGATTTATCCAAATAAAATTTACACATAATATAAACTTTTCTCGCAACCCACAATATTAGTAAAACATTCTGATCAAATCCTTACCAGGATACAGATGAATTTACACTTTAGTGTTTTCAATCACTGTTACCTTTTAGTGTATAACATCCTGTAGTTAGATATTGATTGGTATTCATCATGGACTGACATCAGTTGGAGGAACATCCGAAACCTGGGAGCACTGGACAGCAGGTCCATCCAAGTTTGGGACTCCACAGCAGCACCCGCCCATCAGCCTACCAGAGATCCAACCCAAAAACTTCAGGTTCCACTACCAGCACCTTCCCATTGGATCACTGGTTCAGAATCTGAAGATCCATATTTCGTACTTCTCTCAGTTGTCGATATAATGAACCCTCTGTCCATTGCCATGGTTGAGTAATTTTCCTCATTTTTGACGTGTTTAGCCCCACTAGTTACCACTTCTCATTAGAACTTCGGGAATCACCTGTCGAATCTAATCACCAATGAGTACTAGGACGAAATAGCTGTCTGGTGCCACTAGGTTACTTATTATGGTTCGCTTGTGATATCCATCCATGAAGAATACCGACCTGAAAACAATAAATCTCCTCATATTCAAACTACTGTTCCAGAAGGTCTTCGAGGAAGGAAGGAAAGGTACATGCTGATAGATTGGAAGAAGGGTTACCTTATCAAACTCCCAAACAAGGGCGACCAAAGTCTTTCCAAGAACTGGTGAGGACTCATGTTCCACCGCTGTCCACATCAACCAAAATATTAAGCCTCATTATCCTGAAAACATGAAAATATGCTCTGGATTCAAACTATGACCGTAATAGCCTGGCTGGCTAGCTTAAGGAAGAACAAATCATGTGCGCATCAAATTGCAACGCAACGCATCATCATACAACAGAGCATACAATGGCAGAATGGCAACTCTCCACCTCAAATTCATCACTTTGAAAAGGCTTTCGATTGAGGCGACGACCGACAAGTAATTTGGAAGGCAGCTCCTTCAACAATACGGTTCTGGTACCACAAACCTTTATCAACCTCATTGAGCAGTAGCTATATGCTATATGATGCTACATGACAGCCAAGTGATTGACAATGGAAAGGTCAGTGATGCTTCTGAAGTCAAGACAGGTCAAGAGAAGGTTGCCGCCTACTATCACTGATGATCTTCCTGATTGTGGTCGATTGGACCATGCAGCAAACCGTGAGGAGCTATGAGAAGATGGGCATATGCTGGCTGGACCGATGAAAAGACCGCAGAAGATTTGGATTTCGTCGATGATGATTTATGTGTAATGTCGCACAAAGTCGGAGATCTACAGGCGAAAACTAACAAGTTGACAGACGAAGCAGCTAAGACAGGACTTAAGGTGAATGTAGAGAAGACAGATGTGATGAGGATACCCAACCACCACCAACAACAACAAGAAGCACCAATCACCATCAACGGGGGAAACACAAAGGAATTTGTCTCTTTTACGTACCTAGACAGCATCGTCCCAACTACAGGCGACACAGGCTTACAAGAGGATGTAAAGCCAACCACGATCGGGAAAACAGCAAGATGGGCTTTCCTTCACTAACCTCAAATCAGTGTGAACATCTACTACACTCAGCATAAGGTGTAAACAATATCCAGATTGTCAACACTAGTTCAATCAAGTCAGTGCTTCCATGTGATACTGAGAGGCTTGGCACGTCACGCAAAGCATTTCCAACAAACCACAGACATACATGAATAGCTGACACCTACGTTCAGTCAATACTGAAATTCAGATCAGATAGATGGCCAGAATAATAAGAATAAGCAACAAGGGACTCACTATGGCTGGTGACGAACCAAAAGGCAAGAACCTATCGCCCAACGAATATGCAGAAGGAGAAAGTGGAGATCGATTGGATTGTATTGTATTGGACATACACTGAGAAGAGTGTTTGGAGACATCACGCGCCAGGTCAGATCAGGTCGTCGAGTGGAATCCAAATGGTAAACGAGGAGTTGGGCGTCTGACCTGAGGGTGATATTGAGGAGATAGTGTGAGGAGGAAGTGATAGCTTCTTGGAAGTCATGGAGCTAGGTTCAAAGACTGCGGAGGACAGAGTGGAATGGTGACGTGCTACTGAAGCCCTATGTTCCACTAGGAACCCAAAGGACAAATAATAAGAATACTGTTCTGAAGATTTGGAATACAGAATTGTGGAAATTATTTTCAGCTCAGACGGATGATAATTTTGTTATCGTTTCATGATCCATCTTGAAGAACATAATCCCATCGAAATGAAATATATTTTTACAATTTATGACATTGAACATAATATAAATTGTAACTGGTTAACTTTTTATAAAATTGGTTTGAACCTAATACTACCTACTTCGACCTGGACAATTTAGCAGCACTATCGGATTCAATATAGTAGATGAAGTGCATATACTAGTAATGACACTTTTAAATTATCTGACGTATCACTTCATAAAACACGTCTCAGCAAAATGTCTTCTACGTACTCCAAGTCAATCAAGCATCCTTAAAAGAGTGAATCCATCATCCCTGTAAGATTAGAGGTATCTAGTGATTTGTTTTTTATCATGTATATAATGAAGTTAAAGAGAAACGGGGACGGTAGACATGGACACGTGGACACCACTATTTGCCGTTAATTCAGACGACATCTCTTCATAAATTCTAATACTGCTTTATGCGTCGGAGTAGAAAGCTTTGATTAAAGCTACACACTTACTCAGTACTCCATTTATAATTACTGGCACAAAACTTCACAGATGACAGAATCGAATGCTACTTTCACATCAAGAAATATATCGAGTTTTGATTTATGTTCAAAAGTTTTCAATCGAAATTAGGTGACAACGATATAGTCAAAGTAGGTTGTGGTACACCACTTAAACGCTTGATATTTTCACAACTACTCTCTTGCATATCCATATGAATGTTCTTGCGACCATGAGTTTCAAGAAACGACTAAAGTTACTGAAAAGAATTACGAAGAGTAGTAATAGTGGTAGAAGTGTTATATTTATATGCAACTATTAGATTGATAAGCATAAGAATTGGAAGGTGCTGTTCACACTAACGCGTTTATGAACTGCTAAAATACTTAACTTATCAGTATTGCACTGTGAAGTATCATGAGAACTAATGACACCTTAATTATTTGTTGATGTACTTGTAATTGGTATATGAATTGCTGTTCGAAGGCGTCTATAGTAACTGAATATTTAGTCATAAATGACTTTATGCCTGAGTGGCCTAGCAGATAACGCTTTGGGGTTTGAAACAATGGGTGGTAGGTAGGTTCGAGTTCAAGCGGGAACAACATCACTCACAGCAATACAGGTACATCTAACTGATGAGTCGTAAATAGGATGCGTTGAATTCCACTGCTAGCTACAATCAAATCGATCATAATAATAACACCTTCACTGCACACAAACTTTAATTAACTCGTTTAGTTGGACAGTGTAAGAAATCTGAAACAGATTTGGTAAGTCGGAAAATATTTTCTTGCCAGAAGGATGAATGACTAGATTAGCAATTGAATATTAATAATTTAGTGCATAGTTACAGGGAATAGCGTTTTATAAAATGAAAAAGAATATTCATTAGTCAACAACAACAAAAAAACCGTCTAGTGAACATGAACCTCTCTATATGATCAAATACCACTCTCACTGTAACCTCCAAATATCAACCAGATAATAAACTGTAACACAGTTTAATAACCGAAAAGTATAATTGCCCATTAAACAAGATGAGAATTGATGAAAGTAAACTGAATATTGGATTACCTGAAGTCTTTGCATAATTGTTTTATAGGCCATTGTATCCAATGCATCTGGACTGATACCTTGAAGTTCAAAATCTGAATACATTTTCTAAAATATAAGAAAAAATTATTGAATATGAAAATTAAGATTTCTTCAGTACAAAAAGAAAGAAATAGGCAATGAAATGATTTTACATAAATTGATCACTATCAAGTGTCTAGTTTATAGTGCATTGATAAAATGACTGTTACAATTTATTCACTATTAGAAAAAAAAATTGTTGGGAAGCCTTAGAGATCTAAGTTTCGTGGTTATTGATACCGATCAGGAGGAAGTTCTCGAAAATATGAGCAGATTGGTGGACATTTGATGATTCAAAACCCACGTTATTCAGTGCTGAAGTCATGGACTTAACTAATTTTAATATTCATCAGGTAGACTTAAATTATGAGTAGCAATTGTAGTTGTCTAGATTTTAGTGCCTGGTGTTAGCTGAAGTCTATCTAGTCAGGTTTAGGAATGTTACAATAAGGCTAAGAGCAACAGTTCATCTTTTAACTTAAAAAGAAAGAAAAGAAGAGGGTGAAAATGAAAGCAAAATCGAAAAAAAGACTAAGAAAGAAAAAGAAGGTTTGGAGGAATTTCGTTAGTCAGTGGAAGGCCGAAAAGGAAGTGAGGCTTGGCGTATTCTTTTTGCATACAAAGTTCATCTTATAGCTACAGCTTCCGCTACATGGAGAGTGCGCAAAGGAATCGCATACGGTAGAGTCTTTGGAATGCAGTGTATCACAGTGAAAGCTGTGTTAGTATCTATTTGGCATCCTGTATCTATCTATTAGATGTGCTAGTATAGAGACGTACAAAGACGGCCAAGGCACAGTATTCACACTTCCTTAGCTTTGTACCAATGAAGTACGAAAGAAATACTACTATATGTCTAGTGTTTAGAGCAAGATCGGTCTGCTCCCAGGAATGTGTCGAGAAGGAATTACAAGTCCTTTAGAATATTTTCAGAGAAAACGGATATCCTTGAAAATTTGTAGGAGCAAACATCGCCCATATTACTCAAAAACATAAATTGCTAAGCGTGCAGAAAAACTTTTGTTTTAATGTCTGCAATTCAAAGAAGATACTCTGAGTGAAATTTTATCACAACACTTATCCAGAGCAATAAACAAAATGTTTTACTCAGGACGTCTATGTCTATCCTTTAGTAGCCAACCAACGTTAAACCCGAGACTTAAGAGTACGTTACCTAAGTTGAGCTCGTCATCATGCATATATACCATTTCAACTGTTGCTGTGGAACAGGTTACACAGGGTGAACTATTAGACACGGCCATGTCAGTATATAAGAACATCTACCGGCATGGTTTACAAATGGTGAGATCAAATCGATCAGAAGTTCTGTACTAGCATATCTAATAGATAGATGGATACAAGACACATATAATACTAACACAGCTTTCATTCTGATGCACCGCGTTCCAAAGACTCTACCATATGCAACTCATTAACTCATTCACTATATAGCGGAAGCTGTAGCTATAAGATGAACTAAGACTGAACTTTGTATTAGAAAAGAACCATCTTAGGATGACATATCCACTCCATCTCTGACCTTAGGTAAATTCATGTCATCATTCTCTGTATCAATCACTCACTCGATACAATAGCACCTGGAACTTTATTATTAATTTGCCTTCACCATACATTTGATCAATAACCAATTGAAAAAGTTTACACTCAACTCATTACTACAGTTGACATACACGTTTTGAAGAACACTACCATCAACAAACTTGAAGAATCAAATCTTAATTAGAATTCCATAGCCATTCTGAAATGGATTTGACGCAAAATGTTGGGTATTACTATGATAGGGAAATTGATTTTATAACTGTAGAAGCTAATGAGTTGTTGAAAAGAATACCCTCCGCTCATATTTGCCTTTAAACAATTATATATATATGATACAGATAATAATGTTCAAATATATTCATATATAGCCAAGCCTACAATATATGCCAGGTCAAAAATACATTGTCATTGCGGTATTTCGTATAAGATTAATAACATGGAATTGGTAGGTAAGTGGCAAGTTCATTAGTTGATTATTATTTTTATGTGTATGCTATCCAGTGTGGAATGAGAATAAGATAGAATTTCTTTCTCTAACCATACTTTACTTACAGATATAGGCTGTCATAAGCATAAAACGAAATCGAGTTTATGTTTGATTGAAAAGTGAACTGATAGTAAAAGTATATGTTCATGTGAAAAATAAACAAAATGTAAAACATTTATAAAGTGGATAATAACGAAATTACAGGATGTGAAGTTAACGATAACCAAAGAAATCACCTTGAATAATCGAATATAGATCCTCATGACTTGAAAATAGTGTTTATTTCTGTTGTAGTATGTGATAATGCTGCCTAGATCTTCATAAGAAGCTGAGAGTATCTAGTATAACTCTTCTCTTGCCTTTTAAAAATTTCTACATCTTATCTATTCTTCTCCGTTGTTCCCCTTTATTCATACCTCGGTTACTGATAAAAGGCAATGCTATATTGCGTAGAACTTTGAAGATAGTTAGCGGAACTAGGGGCGTACCTTTAAACCTTGTTATTAAAACTGTTGTAGATAAATATTTTAACTCATGAAGACATTTGGTAGGAGTAATTCTATCAGATGATGACCAGCATCCTCTTCATTTAAGGCTCTTTACGTACTGGTCCTCAGGCAAGACCATGAAAAAGAATATAAAACTTTGTACACGTACTACTAAATACAATACCATATTTAGCTCGTATCGTGAGTGAAGGGGAAAGTGTTAGAAATGACCTAACTAAGCAACTTTTGTCTTTTTAAAGCAAAAAAAATTAGGGATTACACAGCTTACTGTGATATATGTATTATGAATCTAATTGCTTGTATCACTGTATACCTATGTTAATCCGCCTTTTCAAGAAAGTTCTAGACGGAAGTAAACATCCTTGTCATTTATATATAAGAATGTAATTTATTTTTAATTTCATTATGTATACACTGTAACTGCTTCTATTCAACTGGTATCTGTACAGTATCCCCAAAATGTCTCTCAGAATAAAGCTACTATTATTATCATCCTCAAACTGAGCTACAAATCGTTCCTATCATTTCAAAGATTCATATTTCATATAAGCATTCAATGAAAAATTTAACATTTTCAGTTTGACTATCAGAGATAATCTTTGTTTGTCAGACAGCGTGATGAATGAAGGTGCAATAAAAATTTGAACCATAGGTGGATTCGAACCAACGACTATTGGGTTTCCAGACTAATGCTCTACCAACTCAGCTACGAAACTCGATTGTTGACTAGATTTCTATTTCACTTCGATCACTGAGGTTTCGCTCGACTGCTATGTGAATCTGTGACCTGTTACTATCACTTAATCGTATACATACTAGATGGTCAGTCAGGATGTCTCATTTATTCACTTGGATAGTATAATATTTAACTCTAAGTGAATATTTCAATGTATTTTACCACATACAAACAAACATGTAAAAATAGATAAATTGTTATTCTAATTAGGAAAATGATTTCATACTACTTCCTGTGTTTTGGGCTATGACTATTAGCTAAAACAGTTTATCTCAAGGGTATGTACTCTAAGCATGCCAACCTGCAGGAAAATAACTGTAAGCTCAGTTATCAAAGAAAAGTTAGCTTCGTATTCACTGTCAAATATTTACTAAGTAGTATTTGTTTGTTCAAACAAATGATCTTTAGTTACCAGGTTCACAGGAGTTCCAGCTTCAAATTCCAAATAAGGATTATTTAGAGAGTTGAGTATCGCCAATCGCCACGCCACAACATTACAGTTTTGACTCATTACTATGTACGTTTATGTGTGGCGTATGGGTAGGCTAGAACTACTAAAATATTATTGAAAATTGGATTTTTAGGTGTTTTCTACTTCTTACAACAGAAAGTTATTCTCATCTAGATGTAGGCAAGAAAATCCTTTACCATTTGATTCAATACTCTTTGTGATTATGGCTAATTTAGTCGAAGCTTTAAGTTTTCGAAATTCAATATCGTGTGATTTTGATGATTATTGTTTAAATTGTTAACTGTATATTTACGCAAACATACACGCACATAGTTAAAAGGTTCGTAGAGAAAATGTGGAATAACTATAAAAGCCATTACAGAAACGACTGAAATAGCCAATCAGGCTTCCTTAATTATGGTGAAATAGTAGAATTTAACTGGTTATTTTAGTGGTCGTTAGAGTGACCTTCAGAGTTTCTCGAAAAAGCTGTCTTCTCTTGATGCAAGCAACGGTAAACATAGGGATGCAGAATGTCCACACGATGTTTCAAGCTGCCTGAAAAGGCTGCCCACATTCCAAAAGAAATGAAAACATATGGCATAGAAGTGCTAGGAATCCGCGAAAGCAGATGCAATGGAAGTGGACAATCCAAACTGTCAACTGCACAGTCAATAATCTACTCTAGCCACCCGGATGACAATCACCAGCGCATTCAGCGAGTGGCTATCATGATGTCCACAACACCATCGAAGGCTGTCTCTCATGCAGTGGAACCAATCTCCTCCTCCAGCATCATGACAGCAAAATCACAATCATTCAATGCGACGCCAAACACCTACAAATAATTCAGGGCAAGAGAAGAAGGAGGAATTCTACAAACAACTGCAATCAGTAATGGACAACACACCACCCCAGTTAGCGACATCAAAATTCATTCTAATCGGTGGGGTGACATGAATGCCAAACTCGGAGCAAACAATACAGGAAGAGAACCAATCAGGGGTCGAGAAGCACTTGGTTAAATGATGAGTGAGAATGGAGAACTCTCTGCAGACCACTGCACATTCAACGATTGGCTGATTGGAGGCAGTGGGTACAAGCACAATGGATATTCACAAAGTGACATACATTCCTCTTCACCAGATATCAGACACACTACACTAAAAATCAGATAGACTTCATCTCAATCTCAAGGAAGTCGAGACAAAGCCAGCCTACTCGACACAACATCAAGAAGAGCAGCAGATGCAGGAAGGTTCACACCACTCACTATCTATTGCAAGAAACCTACCTTCAAAATCAAGTTCAAAGCCTTCGATTCAATGAAGCTGGTGACAGATGACCACAGTTCAACTTCAAGTTCAACACCCACAACAGAAACTGAACTGAAGAACCAAATTACAAAGAACATCTTCACGTCAGTCAGTCGTCAGCACAAAGTGGGAGAAATTAAGCAACATCCCTGAAGAAACCTGCGAGCTACAACACTGGAACTCTTCGACAGCCATGTGGAAGCAAACCTACATAACCATGTTAGCAAGGAAGAACAAACAAGACAATGAATGGATCTCCACTGACACATGAAAGCTGATAGAGCAGGCAGAGGAAAATGGTGAAGCAGAAGATGAACCAGTGCAGTGCGAGGATGAACAACGAAAAGAGGAACTGAGAACACAACCTATAAAACACTACACTGGACAAAGAAGTGAAGAAGAGTGCACGGAAAAACAAAAGACACTTCTACGACACACCAACAAGTGAAGCAAAACAAGCTACGGGTAAGAGAGACAGACACCTGACAACACTATATCAAATAATCAGGTTACTATCTGGGAGCGAAGAGATAAACACAGCACAGATGAAACCAATGAAAGATGGTAGTGACGGCAACTTAGTTACCGCCAAAAAGGAGAAGCGAAGGAAAGGATGGGCTGACCATTTCGAAAAACTCGTGAGTCGATTACCACAACCACCACCTGCAACTCGCCCAGAAATACAAGCACCAGCCCACCCACACAACCATCAGTGAAAATAAGCCCTCCAACAAAAACAGAAGTCAAGTCCTGAACGCCATGAAGTTGCTGAAATCCGGGAAAGGAGCAGGACCGCATGGAATTCCACCACAAGCACTGAAAACGTACGCAGAGACAACAGGCAACACGCTTTCACCACTATTCCAGAAGGTCTTCGAGGAAGGAAGGAAAGGTACATGCTGATAGATTGGAAGAAGGGTTACCTTATCAAACTCCCAAACAAGGGCGACCGAAGTCTTTCCAAGAACTGGTGAGGACTTATGCTCCACCGCTGTCCACACAAACCAAAATATTAAGCCTCATTATCCTGAAAACATGAAAATATGCTCTGGATTCAAAACTATGACCGTAATAGCCTGGCTGGCTAGCTTAAGGAAGAACAAATCATGTGCGCATCAAATTGCAACGATACGCTACGATACGCATCATCATAAAACAGAGAATACAATGGCAGAATGGCAACTCTCCACCTCAACTTCATCCACTTTGAAAGGCTTTCGATCGAGGTGACGACCGACAAGTAATTCGAGAGGCAGCTCCTTCAACAATACGGTTCTGGTGCCACAAACCTTTATCAACCTCACTGAACAGTAGGTATATGCTATATGATACTACATGCCAGCCAAGTGATTGACAATGGAAAGGTCAGTGATGCCTTTGAAGTGAAGACAGGAGGGAGTAAGTCAAGACAAGGTTGCCGCCTACTATCACTAATGATCTTCCTGATTGTGGTCGATTGGACCATGCAGCAAACCGTGAGGAACTGTGAGAAGATGGGCATATACTGGCTGGACCGATGAAAAGACCGCAGAAGATTTGGATTTCGTCGATGATGATTTATGTGTAATGTCGCACAAAGTCGGAGATCTACAGGCGAAAACTAACAAGTTGACAGACGAAGCAGCTAAGACAGGACTTAAGGTGAATGTAGAGAAGACAGATGTGATGAAGATACCCAACCAACAACGACAACAACAAGAAGGAGCATCAATGACCATCAACGAGAGACCTAGACGAGGTTGCCTCTTTCACCTACCTAGACAGTTTCATTCCAACTACAGGCAGCACAAGCACACGAAACGATGTAAAGCCAGACAAGATCGGAAAGACAGCAACATGGTTCTTTATTAACCTGCATTAACCTGAAATCAGTGTGGACATCTACTACACTTCACTGCATTGAACTGAACTGAACTGCACTGCACTGAACTGCACTCAGCATACAGCGTGAACAATATCCAGATTGTCAACATTAATGTCAGTCAAGTAAGTCAGTGCTTCCATGTGATAGTTGAGAGACTTGGCACGTCACGCAAAGCATTTCCAACTAACTACAAACATACATCATCAACAGCTGACACCTACGCTCAGTCAATACTGAAGTTCAGATCAGATAGATGGCCAGAATAATGAGAATAAGCAACAAGGAACTCATTCTGGCTGGCTGGCCGGCTGGCTGGCTGGCTGACAACAAACCAATGATGCAAGAACCTATCGCCCAACAAATATATTCAGAAGGAGAAAGTGGAGATGGATTCGATTGTATTGTATTATTGTATTGAACATTCATTGAGGAGATGGTTTGGGAACATTACAGGACCGGTTGGGCCAGGTTGTCGAGGGGATGCCAAATGAGAAACGATGAGTCGGGTATCCGAGGTGAGTGTGACATGGAGGAGATTGTGTGAGGAAGAAGTGGAAGCTTGTGGGCAGTGATGGAGCCAGGTTGAAAAGACTGGAGAGAAGAGAGTGAAATGGTGACGTGCTACTGAAGCTCTATGTTCCACTAGGAACCTACGGGACAAATAATAAATAATTATAATTTGAGATCAAATTCTGGAAGTTGCAATGAGAAGTCGTGAAATTCGGATTTAACTCGTCGATAGGGAAGAGTATGCCAACTGAAGATGTGAGATGATAATTACACTATGCCGTGAATTGACAGAAGTAGGAAACTGTTGAGCATTGGACTCCAACTCAGTGGTTGAATGGTTAGTACGTTCGCCAGGAGACTTGAGTCCAGTCCCTGGTGGAGTAATGAGTGTGTATTGCTAAGGAGTCCTATGTTAGGATGAGACAGCTTCTCAGTGGTACCAGGTTTTTAATGGTTCTCCAACTGGTGTCAATCTGTGATGAATAAAATCCTCATGAACTTTAAACTATACATATATATAAAGAATAAATAACACTTACTTTGATGATAGTAGAAAGACAGGTGAATTGGTATGGACTTAATGCATTTCCTTTGCGTTCATTAAGCCAATCATTTATCATTCTTGTCTGTGTCATATACCATGTCTTCAAGGAAAAGTAATAAAAGTAAACTATGTAACCTACATGTATTAGTGCAGTGAAGGTAATAAACAAATATTAAGTATGATTGTCCATTTAAAAAGGATAAAAACAATAACCACTTAATAATGTTTTCAGTAACTCGGGGATAGTATACTTCACTTTGGGATGTTGATTTATTTTTGCATGACTTTAAAACGGTGAATACCATCTCAATATCGTAGTATTAGGTATGTCTGAATGATGACGGTGAACAAACATGAAAAAAGTACATTGTTTACACTATTGTATGCACTGTATTTTTTGAAGTAAACAAATCCAGTTAGAAAATAGAGTATAACACTATAGATCAACTTGAATACATATGATTCGTTTTGCTGTTATTCAAGTTGAGAATATTCACCAAGTTTAGGACTCATTTCAACCAATAAAGCTCTGGCAGTGAAACAGTGACATTAGTCTTGGAGATAATCTATCTAGGCATTTCACACCTGTCAAATGTAAGATAATACACCAGAACTGACCTGTAACTACTCTTAGTTTAAGAATAGGGAGTGAAGTAGTAGAATGAGCCGACTAGTTCACTTACTTGTGAGAGGGGTTGCATCAGCCCAAGGGGGCTGGTTGCTGACCAAATCTCATTTCGGATACAGATCTATTTGGCATTTACCAATTTGCTTCATCTCTGGTACCGATTGGCAAGATATCCGACTACCTGTTAAAGGAAGAGCATACTGCGCTAGAGTCCATTCTGCTCTGTCAAGTGCCTGTGAGACAGTCATTAAAAGTAAGAGAAATGGTGAGACTATAGGTTTTTCACTAGAGGTGTCTTCCTAGCACTACTCGTGTATATTGGGATTACCATGTTAGCAGTATGAAGGTTAGGTGAGTAGTAATAGAAAAGGAAGGGAAGGTGGTCAATGACACTAGTTCACAGTGTCAGTCTGAGCTGCGTTGGGAGATGCAGACTGTCTGTTGGGTCTTCTAGGACGGAAAGAATCAGTGGTTAAGAACTTTTGGTGAAGTGACTGAAAATCAGCCACGATGGCGCAGATTTATTTGCACTTTTGTGTATTCTAAAGTCGGAATTTTTTGACTAACCTAATTTTTAAATTGACTCTCCTACCATGCACCCTTGTCTTCTTTGATATCAGTCTTTCCTGTCCATTTATTCTTTGTGTGAAAGTGTGAAGTGCGGCAACTTGAACCAATACAGCTGCACGCGAGGTTGTACGTTGACTTTATATATCAAAGCTATATACAGGTAAGTATACAGATTTATTGACTTGCATTATTGATGGAAAACATAGACATACTGAAAATCCGATATGAAGTTCTACCAGGAGTACTCAATTTAATATCTATGAGTAATCTTCTGCTTTTCATATTCCTCTTAAAGACACTGTATCATTAGCAGCCTTTGTGAATAATTTTTATCGGCTACTACTATATTCAAAACAGAATACTGAATTCTTTCACAAATACAAGTCGGTTGCTAAAACGTGAAAAGGTCTGTTTTATGCTAAAGTTCCAAAAGTTCATTTCTTCAAAAGTAACTACTGTGTAGTTAATTGTTCTACCAGTTAGTATCAATTTATTTATCTTACAGTAAATAGAATTCGAAAGATGCGTTTCATTTGCTTTGAGACTTGTTAACTGAATGCATTCGGATTTCAGAATAAACGTATATCAGCATCAAGATAACAGCATAAAAATATGAGTGTGTTAACTGGGTCTAAAGTGCTTATATGGTGTTTACAAAGATCATAATATTTTCACTAAGTAAGATGAAAGAGAATTATCAGGCATCTATCTATAGTCAGCAAAGATACCTTATTCTTGATATGAATTGTCATGAAGAGAATATTGTCGATCAGTGTGACCTTGCACTAACAGCTGACGAATTTATTTTGATCAAAAAGATTGGTAGACTAAATTTTGTGGAGACTCATTGACTTCAAGTTGATATTGATCACAGAATGACACTGAAAAATTAGGAGTACTAAGAAGCCAATTTTTCTTCAGTATTTCACATCCATTACCTTATACCTCCAGTGATTGAACTCAGGACTTTTAGGTTCTATGGTCAACCCCTTACCATTAAACCATTGGATCGGAATTCAATACTCTACATTCTTTTATTTCTATTGACTTGCGATATAGTATATCCATTATCTGATGTCATCGTTGTGAATTCGTCGCCATATCCGACTTGGTCTACTCCATCAGTCATTAGGATGAAAAAATTGTCCAGTTCTCCAAAATTTTCAATTGTTCTTCAACTAACATCACTTTTTGATGCTGAAGATTATTAAGTTTCGTCTTTCTTAATATTGATGCAAGTAAAAGCAAATAACTTGCCCAAAATAACATTATAATCTACTATTAGCTTAGTTCAGGATCAAAATCTAATTATTTACCAATTCAAGGCCATTTGTCCATTTTTTAATAATTAGATTCTAATTTCTGTATTACTTCCCTTAATATTGTTCATATCATTGTGTCAATTCTAATCACATTCATCACTTTACAACTAACTATTCACCTTTATATGAAACTTTATTTTATTCAGTGTTAAAATTGCTTGCTCACCCAAAGTAAAGATGGGAAGTAACAAAGAACTGGAGTAAATGATAATATAGCATAGTTTCTCATATAGAATAAAAGGTATACAAGGAAATGATGAACACACAGGGCTAAACACCTGATTTTAATTGAAAAAGTAACAAGCACACATACATACATACATACATACATACATACATACATACATACATACATACATACATACATACATACATACATATGGATGAAGATTAGTTCATTTATACACAGAAGGTAAGGCAAATATATAAATGTTACAATATTTGAGATTAAAGAAAGTTTAAACACCTATAAAGTAATAAATAAATAAATAAAGAAGAAGAAGAAGAAAAGAACTAAGAGTTCATCTCTGTGAGAAAATAAAATATATGGAGTATTCGGAAGAGGTGAAAGGAAAAGAAATTATGAAACGAAAGAAGAAAGAGAAAAAAATTCGCGATATAACATATTATCGTTAGAATTTCCTTAAATGTTCATCGAAAATATTTTTTAGCCCATCAATTTCATGTTTAGCTATGGAGAAAGACGATTGTCTCTCATCTACAATAGGATGTGACATAATCACTGATTAATTGTTTAGGTTTTTGGTATAGATTGTGTTGTATTTTTTTCACAATAATTAGCTTATATTATATATTATGTATCCCTTGGGTTCCTACTGGAACATAGCGCATCAGTAGCACGTCTCTATTCCACTCTCTTCTCTACGATCCTTTGAACCTGCCTCCACGACTGCCTACAAGCTCTCATTTTTTCTTCACATGATCTCCTCCACGTCACTCTAGGACACCTAAATCGTCGTTTCCCATCTGGGTTCCACTCGAGTGACTGGCATGTGATATCCCCGAATGGTCTTCTTAGTGTATGCCCAATTCATCTACACTTCCTTCTCCATATTTGTTCACAGATAGGCTCTTGCATCGTTGGTTCGTTGCCCGGCCAGAGTTTCTTGTTGCTTATTGTTTCTGGCCATCTGATCTGATATTCAGTAACGAGCCAGCGTAGGCAGTTGTTGATGAATGCCTGTAATTTGTTGGAAATCCCTTTCGTAACCCACCAAGTCTCTGAGCCATACAGAAGCACTGACTTGACGTTGGTGTTGAAAATCCGGATCTTGTTCACGCTTTATGCTAAGTGCAGAAGATCTCCACACTGGTTTCAGGTCAATGAATGCCTGTCTTGCTTTTCCGATCCTAGCTGGCTTTGACATCCTCGTCTGTGCCGCTGCCTGTAGTTGAAACGGTGCTGCCTAGATAGGTGAAAGAGGCTATTTCCTTCAAGTTTCTCCCAGTGATGGTGAATGGTGTTTGTTGTTGGTGGTGGAGATGTTAGTTGGGCATCTGCATCACCTCTGTCTTCTCTACGTTCACTCGAAGTCCCGTCTTCGCTGCCCTGCCTCGCCTCTTCTGTCAACCTCTTAGTTTTTGCCTGTAGATCTTCAAATTTGTGCGACATTAGACACAAGTCATCGGCAAAATCCAAATCTTCTAGGATCTTTTCCCCGGTTCAGCGCATCCCCCTCTTGTTGCTCCTCACTGTTTTGCTGCATGATCCAGTTGACCACAATCAAGAAGATCATTGGTGATAGTAGGGAACAGCCTTGTCTTGCTCCTGTCTTCACTTCAAAAGCATCACTGAGCTTCCTATTGTGACGTCATCATATAGTTGTTGAATGAGACTGATGAATGTTTGTGGTACTAAAACTGTAGTGTTGAAGCAGCTGTCTTCCAAAATACTTGTCAGTCGTCGCCTCGATCGAAGGTTTATTCAAAATCAATGAAGTTGAGGTAGAGGGTTGACTGCCATTCTATACTCTGTTCTATGATGATGCAAAGCGTTGCAATTTGATGCGCACATGATTTGTACCTCCTGAATCCAGCCTGTTCCGGTCGCAGTTTTGAATCCAGCGCATACTCCAGTCTCTCCAAGATGGTGCGACATAATATTTTGCTTGGGGTGGACAAGAGCGTGATTCCGCGCCAGTTCTTGCAAAGACTTAAATAATTAGCTTAGCTGCATCATAAATTTTCCTGATGGTTGATGTTTGCCTAAGTCTAAAAATTATACTGTTCAACTCTCAGCTGTGTAATAGATTGGCATAGACGCTTTTCTTAGGAACCGCGTATACAGTTAACTTCGCGGCTGATTGATTTCTACAGTGGTTTGCAAAAACTTAATGAATCGCCGAATATTCTATTGAAGAAGCTGTGACATACACACCGGAACGTTTACAAAAATCTTGTTTTGATTTTCTAAACACCCTGGGATCATATTAAAACTTACACATACATTGATGAAACCTGACTCAGTGTTCAGCTTCTTTCGGGACATGCGTAACATCTATGGCTAGATGTTCATAATCGAGTATATGATTAACTATAAAGTCGGTCATACAGAAACAT